TTACGAGTAAAGAAAATCACATCAGATGACAAAATGGTGGACAGTCACACAATACTGGGAATCATGGCCTAGCCAAGTTGACACACATTTTTGGAGGATACAGTTCAATGCATAACAATTAAATAATACTGAGAATCATGGCCTAGTCAAGTTGACACATCACATTAACTATCACAGAAACATTGCCGGGTCCTGTGCTATCCTCACAATAGTAGGCATGTTTGAGCCCACTGATTTGGCCACTGTGTCAGTCTATTTTGTTGAGTGTCTTCCTTTTGTCCACTGACCTTCTACCCTCTACTTAACCAAGCATGATGTCCCTCTCCAGGGACTGGTCCCTCCTGACAACATGTCCAAAGTAAGTGAGACAAAGTCTTGACATCCTTGCTTCTAAAGAGCATTCTGGCTGTACTTCTTCGAAGACAGATTTGTTCCTTCTTCTTGCAGTCCATGTTATATTCAATCTTTTTCACCAACACCATAATTCAAATGTGTCAATCCTTCTTTGATCTTCCTTTTTCATTGTCCAGCTTTTGCATGAATATGGGGCAACTGAAAATACCATGGCTTGGGTCAGGTGCACCTTAGTCATCAAAGTGACATCTTTGCTTTTTTAAGATTTTAAAGAGGTCTTTTGCAGCAGATTTGCCCAATGCAGTATGTCTTTACAACAACAAATTAGAAATCTCAAACAAGAAGGAAAATGTATTCATCTACCATATTTTTGTTCTTTGCATTGTTCTTCCTTCTTGATGTGCCAAGACTCCTTCTTTTATAATTTCCTTTCTGTTTAGAGAAATTCCTTTAGCTCTTCTTTTAGGGTAGGTCTAAACTGAAAAAAAAAAACAGTTGCCATCGAGTTGATTCTGGCTCATAGTGACCCTATAGGACAGACTAGACCTGCCGCATAGGGTTTCCAAGGATTGGCGGGCGGGCTCGAACTGCCGACCTTTTGGTTAGCAGCCCTAGCTCCTAACCACTGTGCAACCAGGGTGGGGGTCTACTGGTGACAAATTACCTTCATTTATTGAAGAATATTTTCACTGGATATAAAATTCTTGGTTGACAGTTTCTTTCTTTCAGCACGAAAAATGTGTCACTTCCTTCTTGTTCTCCATGGTTTCTGATTAGAGATTTACTATCATCCTATTCCACCCTAAAGTAATGTGTTGTTTCTCTCCAGCTGTTTTCAAGATTTTTGTTTTCAGTTTTCAGAAATTTGACTATGATGTGGCTTGGTGTGGATTTCTTTGAGTTTATTCTGTTTGAAATACACCCAAAGTTCCTGAATCTGTAGGTTTATGTCTTTTGCCAAATTTGGGTAAAATTTCAGCCATTATTTCTTTGAACCCTGTTTCAGCCCCACCATCTTTCTCCTTTCCTGGGTTTCTGAAGACATGAATGTTAGATCATTTGTTTTAGTCCACCGTGTCCCTCAGGCTATGTTCTTTTTTTTCTTCCTCTTTTTCCTAGTCTGTTTTCTCTCTGGTGTTCAGACTGAATAATTTCTATTTTTTCTGTGTTCGTGTTCACTGATTCTTTCTTCTGTCATCTTCATTTTGTTGTTGAACTTATCCACTGTGTTTTTTGTTTTGGTTATTATATTTCTTAGTTCTAAAATTTACATTTAGTTCTTCTTTATATCTTCTATTTCTTTGTGAAGACTATTTGCTGTGTCTGTTTTTTTCATTTGTTTCATGCATGTGCTTAATTGCATTTTCATGATGGCTGCTTTAAAATCCTTGTCTGTGAGGGGAAGGGTGATGGCAGTTTTTTCTGTGGCTGCCCATTTCTTGGTCCTTTGAATATGGAAGGCTGATTTTTCTTGGAATTCTCTTTTTTTTTTTTTTTTTGTATGCACTTGCTGATTTTCTGCATTGCCAGCTCCTCTAGTACCCAGTCGAGGATGTATGAAGCAAAAAGAAAGCCCAGAGAACTCACTACCATTTCATTCCTTGGGTCATAAGGTATCTAGCTGATCTGCCTTCTCGCCCATTTTTCGGAGTCTTCTTATATTTGTTTTATATATAATCCAGAGTTTTTAGTTGTACTTAGTGAAACAATTAGGGAAAAGTATGTCTACTCCATCTTCCTGGAAACGGAAGGTCCCTGTTTCTTAAATAGCCTTTCAAGTAATTCTTTCTTAGCTTCATCTTCAGCCCCATTTCCAGAGTTCTAAGTGTGGTGAATACTGCACCTTTGGGCTTATGCAATGTAATTCAAGTTGTTTTTTGGCTTTCCTTATTGCCACCTTATGACTTGACCTTCTTAGATCTACTATATCAGTTACCACTTATTCATCTACTTTACACTTTCTAAATTTTGTTGCTGTTGTCCCCTTTCCTATTCTGTTTGTCTTTGATTTTCTTTTTTCCTCTTTTGGGGGAGGACTCTGGGGACAAAGAGAAGATCCTACAAGTTTTCAGAGAGGGGGAAAAAAAAACACTCAGGTTTCATCAAAGGATCAAGATTCAGAATGGCACTGACTCCTCAACCAGCAATGCTCAACGCAAATACAATGAAATAATATTTTCCAAATTCTGAGCATAAATTTGAACCTAGAATTCATATATCTAGTCAAGTTATCAAATAAATATGAAGGTATTATAAAGACATTTTCAAGCATACAAGATCCCAATAATTTTATCAGCTTTGTGCCCTTGTCCATGAAGCTATTGGATAAATCCTAGGCCAAAATGAGAGAATAAACCAAGAAAAAAGGAAGACATCTGGAAAATATGTTGTTTGCACAGAGAACAGTGAAGAAAATCCCAAGAGGACAGCTATCCAGCAGGTCTAGAGATCGACAATTCAGAATGCAGATCAGAAGGATGTAAAAGATACTTCTTCAAAAAGACAAAACTAATAGATATGTTTGAATACATGCAATGCATTGCATATAAAACTTAGAACTTGATAGGATTTTTAGATAACCTAATCCAGTGAGTTTTCATGGAATTTTACAGATCTTGGAAGGTTTTATGGAGTGGGGGAGACTACCATGAGGTATTGAGGGAGAAGCAAGCAGTGCTAGCATACCATCCCTCATTTCAATCAGAAATGTTCTGTTTTGATGTGTTATATATGTTGGGCTTTCACATAAAACTTTATTGAAAAAAAAAACTTATACTGCTTAAAAAAAAAAAAAAGCTAAAACCACTGATATGGTCCACCTCCTCTTATTTTATCCTGATGAAGTTATGAAAATTCCAGGCAAAAGCTATGAGCAAACTTCCAGGAAACACCAAAAATAGAGCGTTGCTGAAAAGTCAGCTAATTTCAAGACTCTTATATTCCTTTGTAGTCTCTATTATTGAAAATATGCTGTTCTTTAGCTGTAAAGATGCTACTTACTTTTCCATTGCTGTGAGCTACCATCGAGTCAGCTCTGACTCATGGCAATCCCAAGTACAACAGAATGAAATGTTGCCTAGTGCTGTGCCATCCTCATGATCATTGGTATGTTTGAGTCCAGTTGGATAATATTCTGTTGTGATCCATAGGGTTTTCATTGGCTAATTATCAGAAGTAGATCACCAGGCCTTTCTTCCTAGTCTTAGTCTGGAAGCTCCACTGAAACCTGTCCACCATGGGTGACCCTACTGGTATTTGAAATACTAGTAGTATAGCTTCCAGCATCATAGCAACACAAAAGCCACCATAGTATGACAAACCGACAGATGGGTGGTAATACTTTTCCATAGAACATGCATTTTTTATTTGTTTTCAAATAATATGTGATGTAATGAGTTCTAAACACAAGTTTTTCTTGTGACTAAAATGACAGATTTGAGATGTCTACCTGAGGCAGGAATACCATTTGTAATTATAAAGATTAATTTCTATACAAGGATAACTGACCCTTAAAAGACCAGACTTATGATATCAAATGTGATAGTTAAGGTTGTGTGTCAACTTGGCTGGGCCATGATTCTCAGTGGTTTGGCAGTTATGTAATGATGTGGTTTGGCAGTTATGTAATGATGTAGTCATCCTCCATGATGTGATCTAATATGATCGGCCAATCAGTTGTAAGGGGAGTTTTCTCAGGTGTGTAGCCTGCATCCAGTATATATATGGACATTCTGGCAAAGCTCGCTTGCTTGCTCTGGATCCTGAATCTGGCTCGTCATCACCTGACCTCCAGTTCTTGGGATTTGAGCTTGTGGCCTGCTATATTACCTGCCAATCTTGGATTTGTCAGCCTCTACAGTGCATGATCTAGCAGCCTGCCGTCTGACCTTCTGATCTTGGGTTCATCAGCCCTTGCAGCCTCATGAGTCAGGAGAAGCCTCCAGCCTGATGCCTGACCCACAGACTTGGGACTTGACAGCCTCTACAACCGTGTGAGCCATTTTCTTGAGATAAATCTCTCTCTCTGTATATATATGCATATATATATATATATACACTTCACTGGTTTTCCTTCTCTAGAGAACCCAGCATAAGACATCAAATATGCCACAATATTTAACCTACAGATCTAAAAAGCAAAATCATATCAGATGAAAGCTTGCAAGTTGATGTATTATACTAAAAGGATAATTTTCAAAGGAAAAACATTCAAATTTTACCAATAGTTTTCTGTTCAATTTCTTTTTCTTTTCTAATTTGAATTAACTAAACTTCAGAATTCAGATAAATGAAGATTGAAAGACTATGGGAGGGAAATGGCCCAAGTTTGTTAAGGCCTAAATTTCTAATTTTTCAAGAAATGCACTTTTCTTATTTTTAAGTTATTTTAGCAATTGAAACTAGGTTAATAAATGTCTGGTACTACTGTTACATGATAATTGCTTACATGTAAATAGGTGCTAATATTCCCCTCTTACTTTCTTTTTACTCTATTAATTTGCTTAGAAATTTAAAACAGAAGTAAGCTTTTGTTAATCCATGTATAAGTACCAAATCCCCAAGCTTAATAAGGTCATATTTCATAGTCTTAAAAAAAGAGCTGATAATTTCATTCAAAGAACAAAGATCAGGTAAAAATGATTTACCTCAACCAGTATGCCAACAAAAGGGATAGAAGCTTCTTCATATTTCACAAAGAATAATTCAGGATTAGTCTTCCAGACTCCAAGCCATTTGTCTTTCAACTTTAATTTTTCTGACAGGTATTTACTCATAGCCTCATCAGCATCTTCTGCCTAGCATATAAATAAACATCTAAATATATAAGAAATTATAGATTTATAACTAAATACATTTACTGATATCTATTTAAATATGGAACCAATTTAGGCTTAAATAATCAAAACTCTGGGAACTTATAGATTTTAACTGAAAATATATTTAATGAAAAATATCATAAGTATTAAAAAATTAAACTGAAAAGAGGTCTGTTCACTCAATAGAATAATTCAGATATGAAACATTTACTTACTATTTATGTCTTCAAATAATTTATTAACCCATTGACCAGAAAGAGTGGAAATTATATATATTAAAAACCTAGTAATTTTTTTTCCTGGACTTTAAAGATGTAATGAACTATTTAAAACATTTTCCATATAGAAAAGTTTAAAATAGCATTCCATTCTATAAAACAAATGAGCATATTAAGCACTCAGTAAGTACCTGCCCATTTGATTTTTTTAAAGTTAATTTCAGCTGCCTCAAGGATGATAAATAATCTATTATGAAACTCAGTCATTAGACCCTGTCATAGTAATGACACAATAACTTTACAGAAGTTTTTAAATTGCGTTTAACAGACTTGGCCTTCTCCAACCCTCAATCTCAAATGTACTTTGGTAATCAATACTGTTCTAGTTTTACAGAAATTATAGGAAAACAAAAATCACTCCTAATCCCGGCAGCCAGATAACCATTGTTGGCATTTTGGTGTATTTCCTTCCAGTCTTTTTTTCTATGTCATATATTCATTCATTCTTATGAAGCATACTGTAGTTTTGCCTCCTGATTTTTTTTTTTCACTGAACACTTTACCATAAGAATATCTATAGTTCTCAAAAGCATAATTTTTACAGTTGCATGGTTTTCCATTATATGGAGCCACCATAATTTCTTTACTGTTCCTGTTCCTGGAAATTTAGGTTCTAAATTTTAATTTTTATAAATATCACTGTAATGAATATCCTTATACATAAATTCTCCTGCTATATAACTCCTTTTAAAACAAAATAGGTGAGAAATATACAATATTTGCTCCACTCAGTGTTACGAGGTATATATCTTCTATACAAAATATCATTCCACATCCTAAATGTTTATGCCTGGGAACCATTCTTTTTTTTTTTTTTTAAATTGTGCTTTAAGTGAAAGTTTAGAATTCAAATTAGTTTCTCATACAGAAATTTATACACACATTGTTATGTCACCCTAGTTGCTCTCCCTGTGACAGCACATTCCTCCTTTCCACCCATGATTTCCCGTGTCCCTTCAACCAGCCCCTGACCCTCTCTGCTGTCTCATCTCGCCTCTGGACAGGAGCTGCCCATTTAGACTCATGTATGTACTTGAACCAAGAAGCACACTCTTCACGAATATCATTTTATGTCTTATAGTCCAGTCTAATCTTTGCCTGAAGAGTTGGCCTCAGAAGTTTTAGTTTTGGGCTAACAGAGTCTGGGGGCCATGTCTTCCAGGATCCCTCCAGTCTCAGTTAGACCATTAAGTCTGGGCTTTTTCCTAGAATTTGAGTTCTGCACTCTACTTTTCTCCTGCTCCATCAGGGACTCTCTGTTGTGTTCCCTGTGTGGGTGGTCATTGGTGGTAGCGGGGCACCATCTAGTTCTTCTGGTCTCAGGCTGATAGAGTCTTTGGTTTATGTGGCTCTTTCTGCCTCTTGGGCTAATATTTTCCTTGTATCTTTGGTGTTCTTCATTCTCCTTTGCTCCAAGTGGGTTGGGACCAATTGATGCATCTTAGATGGCTGCTCACTAGCTTTTCATGCCCCAGGGGCCACTCACCAAAGTGGGATGCAGAACATTTCTTAATCAACTTTGTTATGCCAGTTGATCTAGATGTAGGAACCATTCTTAAATCGCAAACGTTTTTAGCATTCTGGTGTAAAAATCAATGTTAAGTAATTAATAACAATGGTCCATCTTACCCTTATGTTTTGACACAAATTGTTAAATAAAAATACTAAGATGTATACCTAAGATATATAGGCAATGATAAGGCCTATATATCTTCATCTGTTAGGAGCTCTCAAAAAAGTCAAAAACACTTTATCAGGGCTGTTCCCTAAAAATGACAGATTTTTCTGTTAGACAGAAAATCTAATCGTAACTCCTTAAAGATATGGCCTGGATATCTCTAATAAGGTGGAAGCTCTATAAATGTCAAATGAATTTAATTTATTTAAGTGCAGGTTTTCTTTGGGCCTTTTGTACCCCCATCACTCTAAGAGGAAGACCCCAAATAACTTTTTTTTTAACAGTCTTGCTGTGAGGTAGTGCACTGGGCCTTGTGGTCGGATTGGCCCATTTCTTTCTCTGGGTCCCCTTCTCCTCACCTTGCAGCCCTGCAGCACCTCGTCGCAGTACACAGCCACCTTCTCATCTCGCCACATCCCTCTCATGGGAGACACACAGACTGGGGGCAATGGCTGCGCCTCCTTTTTCTCCTCCGGCACAGAGAGAAGGGGCCCCTCTTCCTCTTCCTCCTCCTCGACGCCCGCTCCCGGGTCCCCGGCCTGAGAGCCGGGCAGGAGCTGGAGCCGCCGCCGGGCCACCTCCCGGTCGGCCTTCCCCTTCACGGGGCGAGGAGAGGCCACCACCGACCGCACCGGGATCGCGGTGCTCCTCAGGGTCGCTGCCGCCACTGTGTCCCCGGTGAGCGTGGTCACTACCTGGTCGCTTCGCCTGCCGGGGCTGATGGTTCGGACTGAGTCCTCAGGCCCCATAGCCCTCGGCCCCGACGCCATCTCCCCGGCACCCCAAGGGCCAGCTGCAGCCGTTAGCCACTTTTCCCGCCCTGGGTCGCACTGGCCAATTGGCAAGCTGCGCCCTCACGGCCCGCGACGAGCGCGTCGTCGGCTCGAGGGGCTCCTGAGGAGCGAGGCTGGGCAAGGGGTTGGGGGGTGAGATGTTGGCGAGTGAGTCTCAGGGCGGGGAAGGGGCATGAGGGGTGCAGGGCTCTGGGAGGGGTGTTGGGGGTGCGGGGAGGCGGGTACAGCTCCGGGAGGGGTGGGGCTGGGCAGGATGCTACGGAAGGTGGCAGGGTATGGGTAGGTGGGGTGTTGGGGGCGCAGCTCAGGGAGTAGCGGGTGGCTCTGGGTTGAATGGGACAGGACGAGGCTCCTGGGCTTAGAGCCAGGTGTGGGCGTCTGCGAGAGCACTGGTGGCGCAGAGGTTAAGAGCTCAGTTGCTAACCAAAAGATTGGCAGTTGGAATCCATCAGCTACTCCTTGGAAACCCTATGGGGCAGTTCTACTCCGCCTTATAGGATCGCTGTGAGTCAGAATCTACTGAAAAGCGACGGGTTTGTTTTTGGTTTTAATGCGTTTAAGGGGTGATTGTGAGGCACCCTCCAAGTCATCCAACCAACCAACCAGTTGCTGTCAAGGCCATTAGAACTCATGGCAACCCCATGTGTGTCAGAGTAGAATTGTACTCCATAGGATTTTCAGTGGCTGATTTTTCAGAAGTAGATCACAGGCTCTTTTCTTCCCAGGCACCTCTGGGTGGACTCGGACTTCCAACCGTTTCCACTAGCAACCAAGCGAGTTACTAGGGCCTAACAAATGTGCCACCTCTACACACCTCTGCAGCAACACAACCTGACAGAAAATTTGTATACTAGGAAGGCGATAGCATCTGAAACCCTCTGGTTATTACCAGAGGAAACCCTAGCGAACAAATTTTCAACCTAGATTTTTCCCCAACCTAGTCACACAGTTCCGGAATTAAAACTCCCTTTACACATTAAACAAGACACTTTCTACTGAGATGTGGTAATAACAAGGGTAGCTTAGTCTGTATTCATGCCTCTGTTGTGCTGCTCAAAATTCTCATACAGAAGATTATATTACGTCATTGTTAAACTGGACACAAATTTCCAGCTTGGAGTAATGTGCCTACACTATGAAGACTTTTCACAGTAAAAATCTGTTGAAGAGAATGCATTTTGGAGAAAAATAGAGAAAATTTGTTTCTGGTATTTTACTACTGCATGTACATTGAGCCAATTGGATTAACTTTTGTTTACAGTCTAGCTGTGAAGTACTGCACTGGGGCTGACTGCTTGCAAGGAGTAGAATAGCACTGGGAAAACACCTGCCTTCCTTCACACTCATCTGGAAGGACACTGTGTTAAGTTTTGAGTTTATTTTGAGGAAAATATTCATATTAATATGTGACTGTAGTTCAGGGAATAATTACGACATTCATCATGCTTTCACTCTAATTCTTTTTGTCAGGAGTCCTGGATTTTGTTTAAAACAATATCTGTTGTTGTTAGATGCCCTTAAGTCACTTTTTGACTCATAACAACCCCATGTGACAGAGTAGAACTGAGTAGAAAACCCCGTAGGGTTTTCTAGGCTGTAATCTTAATGGGAGCAGATCACCAGATCTTTCACCCACAGAGATGCTGGGTGAGTTTGAACTGCCAACCTTAAATAATACAGATTTCACTCACCTACCTAAAATTCACTGGTGTAGTGTTTCTTCAAAACCATTTGCTTTTAATAAATTACGGGGTTTTCATTCTTAGGTTCAGAATAAGAGAGACCACCTGTCCTAGTCTAAAGTTCAAAAACAACAGTCCCCTCTAACAAAACAAATACTTGTTAGGAACCTGCTATATTCCAGGCATTGCATAGATACTAAAGTTATAGAAATAAAGGACAAAATTCCTGCCCTCATAATCTAGTGAGAGGTGCAGATTGGTCAATACATGATTGTACTAGTTGCCGTTGAGTTGATTCTGACTCATGGTGACCTCATGTGTGTCAGAGTAAAACTGTGCTCCATGGGGTTTTAAACGGCTGATTTTTCAGAATTGTATTTCCAGGCCTTTCTTCTGAGGTGCCTCCGGGTGGACTCAAACCTCCAACCTTTCAGTTAGCAGCGAAATGCATTAAACATTTGCACCACCCAGTGACTCCAAGGACCATGATAAGGACCATGATATTGTGGAAGAAAGGGGCCTTTCTTGCCCAAAGTGACATTTAAGCTGAGTCTAAAAAATAACACTTATTGCTTTTTACTGATTATGAAAGCAGTGCCTGTTCCCTGAGCCAATTAGGGCAATACAGAAAAGCATTTTTTTTGCGGGGGGAGAGGGGTTAATTCTTCCAAACTTTAATCAACTTTTCTGTGTTTTAAATTAAAATTAGAAACTGAAATAAAAACATATTGTTCTGAAATCTACTTTTTACCAGAAAAGCATTTTTAAAAATTTTACTGTGTTTTAGGTGAGAAAGTTTCCTGTGCAAATTAGTTTTTCATTCAAAAATTTGTATACAAATTGTTTCATGACATTGGTTGCAATCCCTGAAATGTGTCACCACTCTCCCCTTTTTCCTTTCTGCCCTGGGTTCTCTATGTCCAGTTGTCCAGTTTTCCTGTCCCTTCCTGCTTTCTCATCTTTACTTTTGGGCAGGTGTTGCCCATTTGCTCTTGTATACTTGATTGAACTAAGAGGTACATTCCTCATGTGTGTTATTGTTTGTGTTATAGACCTATCTAATCTTTAGCTGAAAGGTGGACTTCGGGAGTGGCTTCAGTTCTGAGTTAAAAGGGTGTCTGGGGGCCATACTCTCGGGGGTTCCTCCAGTCTCTGTCAGACCAGTAAGTCTGGTGTTTTTCTGTGAATTTGAATTGTGTTCTACATTTTTCTCCCACTCTGTCCGGGACCTCTATTGTGATCCCTGTCAGAGCTGTGGGTGATGGTAGCCAGGCACCATCTAGTTCTTCTGGGCTTAGGCTTGTGGAGGCTGTGGCTCATGTGGTTCATTAGTTCTTTGGACTAATATTTTCCTTGTGTCTTTGATTTTCTTCATTCTCCTTTGCTCCGAATGTGATAGGACCAATAGATGTATCTTAGATGGCCGCTTGCGAGCTTTTAAGACCCCAGATGCTACTCACCAAAGTAGGATGTAAGACATTTTCTTTATGAACTATGTTAATGCCAATTGACCAAGATGTCCTCTGAAACCATGGTCCCCAGCCCTCAGCCCCAGTAACTTGGTCCTTCAAGATGTTTGGATGTATCTGGGAAGCTTCTACGATTTTGCCTTGGTCAAGTTGTGCTGACTTCCCCTATATTATGTGTTGTCTTTCCCTTCACCTAGGTTAACACTTACCTACTATATAGTTAGTGATTTCCCCTCCCTACCCCTCTCCTCCCTCATAACTATCAGTGTTTTTTTTCTGTGTGTAAACCTTTTCTTGAGTTTTTATAATAGTGGTCTTATAAAATATTTGTCTTTTTGTGATTGACTTATTTCACTCAGCATCATGTCCTTCAGATTCATCCATGTTGTGAGATGTTTCACGGACTCATCATTGTTTTTTTATTGTTGCATAGTATTCCATTGTGTGTATATACCATAATTTGTTTATCCATTCATCTGTTGATGGGCACTTAGGTTGTTTCCATCTTTTTGCTATTGTGAATAATGCTGCAATGAACATAGGTGTACATATATCTATTTGTGGGACAGCTCTTATTTCTCTAGGATATATTCCTAGGAATGGGATTGCTGGATCGTATGGTATTTCTATTTCTAGCTTCTTAGGGAGGCCACGTATCATTTTCCATAGTGGTTATACCATTTTACATTCCCACTAGCAGCACGTAAAAATTCAAATCTCCCCACAACCTCTCCAACATTTGTTATTTTCTGTTATTTATGATTAGTGCTAGTAATGTCGGGGTGAGATGGTATCTCACTGTAGTTTTGATTTACATTTCTCTAATGGCTAATGATCGTGAGCATTTCCTCATGTGTCTGTTAGCCACCTGATTGTCTTCTTTGGTGAAGTGTCTGTTCATATCCTTTGCCCATTTTTTAATTGGAGTGTTTGCCTTTTTGTTATTGAGGTGTTGAAGTAGTCTATAGATTTTAGAGATCAGTCCCTTGTTGGATATTTCATAGCCAAAATTTTTTTCCCAGTCTGTAGGTTCTCTTTTTACTCTTTTGGTGAAGACTTTTGATGAGCGTAAGTGTTTAATTTTTACTAGCTCCCAGATATCTAGTTTATCTTCTGGAGTTTGTGCATTGTTAGTTATGGTTTGTATTCTCTTTATGACATGTATTAAGACTCCTAGTGTTATCCTTATTTTTCTTCCATGATCTTTATTGTTTTAGGTTTTATATTTAGGTCTTTGATCTGTTTTGAGTTCATTTTTGTGTATAGTGTGAGGTATGGGTCCTGTTTCATTTTTTTACAGATGAACATACAGTTTTGCCACCATCATTTATTAAAAAGACTGTCTTTTCCCTATTTAATGGACTTTGGGTAACCATAGGTAGATGGATTTACATCTGGGTTCTGAATTCTGTTCCGTTGGTCTATGTGTCTGTTGTTGTACCAGAAAAGCAATATTTCCAGGATCACCAATAATTACTGTTAGATTTTGACATGTTTTCTTTAAATATGCTTTCCTATCAGTTTATTACAAAGTTTAGATCATATTAAATTTTACATTTTAGTTTTTATTTAGCATGTTATAAGCATTTTTGTATCATTAAAATTATTTAAACATATCTATCAATAGCTGCATACAATTTCTTTGTATGATGTAACTTGCATAACTGTATTTTCAGATGTTTGGGTTATATGTGTATATATATATTGTAATAATAAAGATGCCATGTTGGATGTCTTTGTGCATAAATTTTTGCCGATATTTCAGATCCCCACTCTTCAAGGGGAAAGTGAGATTACTGAGTGAGGATGTATAAACATTTTAAGGCTCTCAGCACGCACTGCCAAATTATTTCCCCCAAAAGATTTATTAATCTGTGTTTCCATTAACATAAAGAATTCTTAGATGGGCTGAGTTTTGAAAGAGAAGTAGGCTAAGGCAGGGGCAAAACAGG